ATTATTAATAAATAAATAAATAATAAATATAAATAAATATATAATTAATATAAATAAATAAATATATAAATATATATAAATATATTTATTATAATTATATATAATATATATTTATATTATCTAAACCCTAATAAGACAGAAAGGTGTACGTACACCTCAACAGCAGCAGCAGCAGCAGCAGCAGCAGAAGCAGCAGTAGGAGCATAGTCGGCAGAGGACGACATAGTTGGGGTGTATAGGCAGCTAAGAGGGAGGGAAAGAATAAATAATAAATTATAATTAAATTAAATAAATAAATAATTATATAATTAGGGTTTAGGGTTTAGGGTTTAGGGTTTGGGGCTGGGGATCCTATACGAGGTGTTGTTGCCTTATATGTGTATTGCTGCTGCTGCTGCTGCTGCTGCTGCTGCTGCTGCTGCAGCAACACAGCAGCAGCAAAAAGAGCTGCCTATACACCGCAAAAACAATAAACACAACATAAACAATTCATTAGATTAACTAACATAAGTAGAGGAGTTGCTGCAGTAGTAATTGCTGCTGCTGCTGTTGCTGCTGCTGTTGCTGCTGCTGTTGCTGCTGCTCCAGCTGCAGGTCACCCAGCAGCCAGCTCCACTTTTTGAGCACAGCAGCAGCAGCAGCAGCAGCAACAGCAGCTGCAGCAGCAACAGCAGCAGCAGCAGCAACAATTTTTGCCTTGGCCTTGCCGCTGCTTTTCTTCTTTGCTTTTTTATTTTCTTATTATACTAAGGGCAGTATAGCAGCTGTATGCAGACACCTGCAGCAGCAGCAGCAGCAGCAGCAGCAGCAGCAGCAGCAGCAGCAGCAGCAGCAGCAGCAGCAGCAGCAGCAGTCCTATACCCTCTTTTTTTTTTAAGATCGCAGCTCTAAAGGAGCCGTTTTAAACCGTTGGGGCGTAACGCGCTTGCTGCTGCTGCTGCCTCTGCTGCTGCTGCTGCTGCTGTTGCAGCTGCTGCTGCTTCTCCTGCCACTTCCGCTGTTGCAGTTATTGCTGCAGCAGCTGCTGCAGTTGCTGCAAGAAGATCTGGCGGTGTGTCCGCCATATTAGCAGCAACACACGGAATCTGCCGTGTGATGCAGCAGCAACAGCAACAGCAGCAGCAGCAGCAGCAGCAGCAGCAACAGTAGCAGCGGCAACAGCAGCAGCGACAGCAGCAGCAGCAGCAGCAAGAGTAGTTTGTCGCTTGACAGACGCCATGCGGCAGCGAGTGCCTTACACGCCCCCTTGAGGCAGCAGCAGCAGCAGCAGCGCCAGTAACAGCAGCAGGAGATTGACCAGCAGCAGCAGCAGCTGGAGTAGCAGCAGCAGCAGCTGGAGCAGCAGCAGCAGCAGCAGGCATGGCAAGTCAGCGCCAGGATGGGCGCTATGGCAAGTTGGGGTCGGGAGAGAGGAGGAGGAGCAGCAGCAGTAGCAACAGCAGCAGCAGCAGCAGCAGCAGCAAGAGACACAACAGCAGCAGCAGCAGCAGGAGAGGCATAAGAGCACCTACGCAGCTAAGAGGGGATTTGCTGCTGACGGAGCAAAGCAGCGATGGTGCAGCAGCAGCAGAAGCTCGTGCTGCAGCATTAGCAGCAATTGTTGCATCTGCTGCTGGTGGTGCAGCAGGTGGAGGATCAGCAGCAACAGCAGCAACAGCAGCAGCAGCAGCAGCAGCAGCAGCAAGACGCGGCTGCGCCTCTGATGATGGAGGGGGAGGACCGCAGCAATGGTGTCGTACACCGCGGTGGCCTGGCAGCAGCAGCAGCAGCAGCAGCGCAGCAGCAGCAGCACAAAATAGTACAGCAGCAGCAGCAGGTATTGCTCGCCTATTTACTAATCATAATATGCTGCGCTGGCATCAGCAGCACCGCAGCAGCAGACTGCAGCAGCAGCAGCAGCTGCTGAGGACTCCTTGCTGCCTCTTGCTGCAGCGCCACCTATCCGAGTACTCGCAGCAGCAGCGCATGCAGCAGCAGCTGCAGCAGCAGCGCATGCATCGCAGGCAGCAGCAGCAGCAACGACAGCAGCCCCAAGCAGCTAAACGCTCTCACCCTCCAGCATGTTTGTCCTCTCCTAACCAGCAGCAGCAGCAGCAAGGGCAGCAGCAGCAGCAGGAGCAGCAGCAGCAGCAGCAGGTGCTGCAGAAAAAGGAGCAGCAACAACGCCGAAGACGCGGGGACCTGCTGCAGCAGCCAATTGGCATACAAGAAGCAGCAACAAACACGGAGCAGCAGCAGCTGCTGCAGAAGCAGCAGCAGCAGCAGCGGGAACAGCAGCAGCAACAGCAGCAGCAGCAGCAGCAGCGGAGGAGTGAGCAGCAGCACACAACCCGCATGCTGTCTAGGCAGCGCCAAAGTCGCCTGCGGCTGCAGCAGCAGCTGCAGCAAGCCCGCGAAGAGCAGCAGCAGCAGCAGCAGCAGCAGCTGCCTGCTTCCGTCCTGTTTGCTTCTCAGGAGCTTCGTGCTGCAGCAGGAGAGAGCGAAGACGAAGTCTTGTGGCTGCCAGCAGCAGCAACAGCAGCAACAGCAGCAGCAGCAGCAGCAGCACCGGATGGCCGCCGCAGCCACCGGAGACTACGCAGGGGCAACAGCATAAAAAGGGCTCAAAGTGCAGCACCTAGCAGCAGTAGCAGCAGCAGTAGCAGCAGCAGCAGCAGCAGCAGCAGTTTGGTGGTGTGGGGCGGCAGCAGCAGCAGCAGCAGCATGCATGCAGCAGGAGACAGTCCCTTAGAAAGGGCTTTGCTGCGAGCTGCGGCTGGCTGCTGCAACGCATGCAACAGCAGCAGCAAGAGCAACAACAGCAGCAACACCAGCAGCAGCAGCAGCGGGAAGAATCCTTGCATGTGCCGAATGAGCATGAGCAGCAGCAGCAGCAGCAGCAGCAGCAGCAGCAGCCAGTTTAGCGGCTGCTGGTGCCGCATCTGCTGCAGCAATCGTTACGGTAGGAAGACAACGAATTGCCATAGCGGCATGCCTTGTGCTGCAGCAGCAGCAGCAGCAGCAGGAGTAGTGCCGCTGCTGCTGCTGCTAGATGCAGCAGCATGGGGCAGCCTAGCAGCAGCAAGCCGCACAACTTTTATGGCGTTATCTTCTTGCCGCAGCAGGGACAGCTGCATGCTGCTGCTGCTGCTGCAGCAGCAGAAGCAGCAGCAGCAGCTGCTCTCGTGGAGATGGGGAGAGCCCTATGCATGCGAACTCCCGCTGCAGGTGCTGCGCCCCAGCAGGCGCTACCAGCAGCAGCAGCAGCAGCAGTTGCTGCTGCAGCAGCAGCAGCAGCGGAGGAGGCGTGTGGGGACACAGCCTGCTCTTCCTGCAGCAACAGTAACAGCAACAGCAACAGCAGCAGCAGCAGCTGCTGCTGCTGCTCCCGCTGCTCCTGGAGAGGAGGGAGCATGTCTTGTAGTTGGCTGCAGCAGGAAGGGACAGCAGCAGCAGCAGCGAGTGAGCTGTTCTGCTGCTGCTGCTTCTTTGCTGCGTGCTGCTGCTGCTTATGTGTCACCTCCTCTATCTGCTGAGGGGCAGCTGCAGCAGCAGCTGCTTGCTGCTAAGGGTTGGTCTTGCATGCAGCCGCTGCTGCACCAATCTTTTCTTTGGCATCCTCCTGTTGCTGCTGCTGCTGCTGCAGCAGGAACAGGACGATCATCAGCAGCAGCAGCACCAAGAACAGCAGCAGCAGCAGCAGCACCATTGGTGTTGGCCCGTTGCATTGGGCGGAACTGGGGTGGCATAAGTCCCCTTTGCTGCAGCAGCAGCAGCAGCAGGGACAGCAGCACCGTCAGCAGCAGCAGCAGCAGCAGCAGCAGCAGCAGCAGCAATATATCTGCTGCTGCACCTTTGCTGCTGTCTATTGATGCTGCTAATGTTTGCTGCTTGTCTTCCCTTACTGGGCAGCTGCAGCTGCAGTTCCGTTTGCTGCGCTGCTTTACGTTGTCTCCTTTTGCTGCACTGCAGCAGCAGCAAGTGCAGCAGCAGCAGCAAGTGCAGCAGCAGCAGCAGCAGCAGCAGCAGCAGTTGCCTGTGTATAAGCAGCAACAGTTGCAGCGTAGTACCTTCTGGACATCTGCTGTTGATCGTATATATTATAGCAGCAGCAGCAGCAACAGCAGCAGCAGCAGCAGCAGCACAAAGTTGCTAGCAGGGCAGCAGCCTACTGTAGATATGCTGCATGCATATTCTGCTGCTGCTGCTCCTGCTGCTGCTGTTGTTGCACTATACGATCTGCAGCAAGATGACTATTGGGAGGAGAATTGTTGCTGCTGCTGCAGCAGCAACTACAGCAGCAGCAGCAGCAGCATCACCACCACCACCACCAGCAGTACAACCGCCACTACCGCCTGCTGCTGCTGCTGCAGCAGCAGCAGCTGCTGCTGCTGCAGTGTACGTACACCCCAGCTAATTACCCCACAGAGCGAGGTTGAGCTGCCGCGTAGCAAGGGAGAATTTATAGTAGATATGTCTCCTCTTGATGCAGCAGCGCTGCTGCTGCTGCAGCAGCAGCAGCAGCAAGGAGTACTTCTCTCCTCTGGGTCTGTATGTGCTATTGATCTACAACGCATGCAGGTAACCAGCAGCAGCAGCAGCAGCAACAGCAGCAGCAGCAGCAGCAGCAACAGTAGCAGTGCATATAATATTGCTTGTTTTATAGTCTTGTATGTTTGCTACTTCTATCTAATTATATTGCTGCTGCTGCTGCTGCTGCTGCTGCTGCTGCTGCTGCTGCTGCTGCTGCTGCTGCTGCTGCTGGTGC